CATCAATCACACTGGTCCTTGAGGTCCACCTTGATGAGGACTTGGCAGCTCTGGGGCTCCATCCTTGGGTGAGGAATGGGACCAGTCCCGGCACTCACAGGGTGAGGTGACTGGGAGCCCAGTGCTGCTGGAGGGAGCAGTCCCATTTCTAGTCATCTGGTGGCTTCGGGCTGACCTCTACTGACTGAGCAGGCAAATGGCCACCGCAGAAGCCATCGGAGGAAGAGTGTGGGGTCTGGGGCTCTGCTCCAGGTGCCCTCCTTGGGTTAAAGCCTCAGTAGATACCTGCCTGGTACAGCCCTCGCCCAGGTCCTGCAGAACCTCCCCATTCCTGGCCTTTCTCCACCCCTTGGGTAACCCTCTGCTTTTCCAGAAAACCTCTTCCTCCAAGGCAATAACAGAAATAGGTGGAGTGATCTCTGTAGGGAACGTTTCTCTGGGCAAGAGTCTCTCAGGGCCCTGGTCCCACCTTGGACTGTTTACACACAGGTAGGGAGGGAGGAGTGAACACACCTCTTGCCTCCTCAGACTTCCTCCTCATTTCCTCCTCCCTCATTCCACTTCCTTTAAGTATTTTTTTTCCCCCAAGCACAGCTTTACTATAAAGATTATTTTTTAGCCTTGCATCTGGTGCATAATCTCAGTTCTTTTAACAGAGTTCTCTGAAATACGAAAGAACTTCAAGCCGTGCCTCTGGGGGCACATGGGGATTTTGTCTTTCACAAACAAAAAACTTCTCTCTCAGTAGTTTCGGAGGGGAACTGGGAAAAGTGATCTCTTGATGCCACAGCCCCTCCCGAGGCTGTGAAGCTGCTTTCCTCAACCCTCCTGGGTCTGAGGCGAGAGGCTGGGGGGAAATGGCGCTGCTGGTGCGGCACCGTGAACACCGAGTGGCATCGGCCTGAAGAGGATACTCTGCAAGCCCAAGCAAAGAGGACTTCTGGAAGAAAATGGGACCTCATGGTGCTTAGCACCTTGACAGGGGGCTGCAGCAACTCCCCAAAGCACCCCCTGAAGATCTTCCCTCAAACGGGTTGGTTGGCAGCAGATTATGAAACACAAACCCCGTGTGCCATCTCCCAGCCCCGGAGGTACAGACAGAACAGTTTCCCCCATATCCCTGGCTGCCCCTTGGCTAATTCTACAGGAAAGAACCAATACAGACCCAATTAAATTCATTAAAATTCATTTATAAAATCTTTCAGTAGCCTTAGAAGATCGGGAAAAAAGTTGTCTCAGTTATTTGAAAATGAAGCACAAGGAAAATAGTCTCGGGAGATTGCGACCTCTTCTGTCCAACAAAGAAGGTAATTTTCTCCTGTGCTCCAGGAAAGTAGCACCTTTTACCCGCAGTGAAATTAGAAGAGTCCCAGAATCACTATAATTTTGGGTTTGAAACGCGGTGTGAGTGTCTGGCCTTGGCTGACCTGCTGCATCTCTGAGGGACCTTCCTACCTGGTTTCCTTCTTGCTGTCCCCTGGGCCTGGTGTCACAGCTTCTACCTGCATCGTGTTGTGGTTCCCGATCTGAACCATCCGAGCGTGTTGGATGATGAGGTGTGGGATCCCTTCTGGCATCAGGTTGTAGTGGCCTGGTGGGAGATGAAGTGGCTGGGAAGGAGGAGGACCCATCTGACCAGGCATGGGGTGAGGAAGGTGGGTGGCAGGAGGGACAGCCGAAGCAGGGGGACACCACTGTTGGGGTGATGGCTCCAGTAGCTGCGGCTGCGTTGCTGATGGTGGCACCTGGGGATGGGAGCCAAGGTTCAGAGCAGCTAAATTCTGCAGTGTTTGATACTGCTCTAGTTTCTTTCTCTGCGTCAGGTCCCACATGGCTTTCCTCTTACTGATCCTGCTGCTGGTAAAGGTGTTCTGCACAGTCCTGGAGAACACGGGAGAGTTCTCATCCAAGGGCATGAGCCCGTTGAGCGTGGTGGGAAGCTGACTCCGCTCCAGGGGGCTCTCCTTGGGTACAAAAGGGATGACTGAGTCGCACTTGGATGGGTTCATGATGGACTCCATCAGAGCAGTGTTTGTCTGGAACATACAGAGGTTGCACAGGAAGTTCTTGGTCAGCAGAAGGATGATGAAAGCCGAGTTTTCCATAGCATCCTGGAAGCAAGTCAGATGGCTGCGTCCAGCAATGAAGAAGTTCTCAGAGAGCGTGGCACCGTTGGGAACCCCCATGCTCTCCAGCAGGTTCTTGACCCGATGGGCAACACTCTCATCTTCACTAGCGTGCAGGACAACAAAAGTGAAGAACTTTCTGTCTCCAGCGTCTGGCTCTGATGCGAGCCCTGCTTCTAGAGTTTGGAGAGGAGGAGGCCAGGCTGGAGAGGTGGATGAGGGGAGGGGAGAAGGATATGATAAGTTGGGAGCAGCTCCCTGAAGAGGAGACGGAAGGGTTGAGAAGACAGAATAAGGAGGAGAGGCTGAAATGGAAGATGCAGAGTTAGAAGTGCCTGCTGGAACATAGGAGTCCTCCCTGGTGGTATGGGCCAGACCAGTATCCACTGTAGCTCTTAAGTCAGAAATAATTGTAGGTAATTGCTTTTCATCTTGATTTTTGTCTGTGCTTTCTTTTGGTGCATGAGGTTCTGCTGCCACAGTGCTGGAAACGTCACTAGTTTGGACAGGTTGGTTCACAACGCCCTGGGTGGGCGGCTGTGTTTCAGGAATTGGCACAGTTGGGTGACTTGAAGTGACCCCCAGAACCTTCTCCGGCTGGGGGACTTGGGCACTTGTGTCCTGCCCGAGATGAGAGTTGGTTCTGCTGGCCCAGCTCGTTTCCTGCAGGCCATGGCTCTCTTCATCCCCAGTGGGGTGTCCAGCACTGCTGGTGCTCCCTTGGCACAGCCAGCCAGACTGGGGGCCGTGCTCCTGGGAGGAAGGCTGGGTGCAAAGAACAACAGTTGGCGACGCGCTGATCTCAAAGCAACTGGGGAAAGGAGGACTCTCCGAGGAGTGCAAGGTCCGTGGGCCCGAAAAGTCTGAGTTACCTCCAATCTCCACTGGGGAACTTCTCCCCACGTGCTCTGGGCTGGGCGTCTGGAGAAACCCTACTCCCACATCAGATCTCAGCGTCTGAAATTTGCCACCTGGGCCCCTGTTGACAACAAAGCCGTGTTTCTCCTGGTCCTCAGGTGGGATGCTGTTGAGCGTGTCCCCCTTGCTGGCTTTGGTGGCAGCCTGGTAGGCTTTGTCCATGGCTTCGTGACTGCACAGTTTTTCATCTGCCAACAGGGAGTAGATCTGTGCCAGAAGCTCCCTGGCACCCGCATCCAGCTGGGGAGGCTGCAAGTCCTCCCCGTCTTTCCTCACTCCTGTAGTGCCCAGTTTGGTGTGGTGGACATACTGGGCTGCCCGGTTATCTCCCAAGGCATCCAGACAGATCCTTGCATCCCCTTCTCGCCGCAGAATGAGCAGGATCATGGCTTGAAGTAATTTGCTGCTGGGCCCAAATACCAAGCGTGTCAGTTTATGTCTGAAGGTAAGGAGTTTATCTTGTGGGATCCGGGATAGAATGTCAAAAACGTCCTCGAAGCTCGGCTGGAGCTCGGCGCTCTGTGCCATCTCATCAGCTGGTGGCCCAGATGATGGACTGAAGCCGCGTGGATGGAAAAAGCATAGTAGGGCTCTCGGAGTGAAGGTGATGGAAGCCCTGCTCGCACCTCATGTCCCACACAAGTGGTGGCTCTTTGCTGCTCAGGGGCTCGTCTCAGAAGCGGGACGTCTCTGTCCTGAGGAACCAGCCAGAGGAACCTGCGAGAAGAACAGAGGACAATGTTCAGAAATCACCATGTGGGGAGCGTTGGGGTGCTCATGAGGTTTGCCGAGCTCCCCGGCTCTATCTTGCTGCTCTCGAGTATTTTTTCCTCTATTCAGTCCTTGCCAGCGCTCCACGCGTTGTTCCAGCTCTTACGAAGCAAAGATGGAAGTTCTTCGCATTCATTTCACGTCAATTACAACCGATTTAGAATAATTGCTGAGCTAATAACATATTTAGGTAAATCCCAGGGTCTGTCTCCTGCAGACGGCGGGTTCCTGGGGCCTCGCAGGCTCATGAGCCGGGCAGTGGAGGAGGAAAGTGCCCTCAGAAGAAGGGTGCCAGGAGGGTGGATAACCCACAGGCACCCTCTGGGATGAAATGGTGGACGTTATATCCCCGGCCACATCTACTCCCTGAGCCCTGCCAAACCCCTCGCACTCACCGGAGGCCTCTGAGCAGCTTAAATTAAACAGAACTCGTGCGGAGCGGAGAAGTGGGTGCCCGGAGGGACACTGCTACAGGCACTGATGGAGCCCGGTGGAAAAGCCTTCCCTATTTAAAGGCAGCACCAGCGAGTGCCCCAAAATAGCTCAAAACTGGGGAAAATTTATCATTTCAAATCACTTTTTTTTTCCCCTATCTCATAAAAATCCTCTAATTGCCCAACAGAGGCGCTCAGGCCGGGCCCGAGGAAGTCTCTGGCTCCCCCCACGAAACCCCTGATGAAGTGAAAGGGCAGGAGAAGGGCCGGGAAGGGTGGCCCAGCCGGTAGCCACTGGCTACTGCCCTTCCCCCCCCTCTGACTCACCGCAACGCTCCGCTCCTCGCCCCGCTCCGCCCGGGGAACGGGAAGGGGCCAGCCCCGGTTCCAGCCCCGGTTCCAGCCCCGCTCCGCCGTCCCCCGGCTTCCCCCCTGCCCGGGGGGGACCGATCCCGGGCTACCGATCCCGGGCTACCTCGGGGTCCTCTCGCCCGCCACACCGGAGCCCGCGGGCACACGAGGAAGCGGCGGGGCCCGGCGGGGCGGAGCGGGGCAGAGCCGGGGCGGAGCGGGACAGAGCCGGTGTGATACTCGGCACTGGTGAGGCCTCACCTCGAGTACTGTGTCCAGTTTTGGGCCCCCTACCATAAAAAAGACATTGAGGTGCTGGAGCGGGTCCAGAAAAGGGCGACAAAGCTGGTGAGGGGTCTGGAGAATAAGTCTGATGAGGAGAGGCTGAGGGAGCTGGGGGGGATACCGGGGCGTCCCGTGGTTGGAAGGGCTCGGCCCCAGGGAGCTGCCACCTCCCTCCCCGCGGGAAGGGGTCCCCGGTGTCCCCCAACACCAAGGGCTGGAGGTGCTAAACCCAACCGGGAACCGAGGTTTCCCTCTAGTGAGGGACCGTCGGCATTGCCTCTGGAAGGAGCGAGGCTGGAAACGATGGAGAAAGGGAAAAGGGGGGCAGCAGGGGCAGGATAGATGGAGCTGACCCCCAGGAGCACAGGCACAAGTCTTGGGGATAAAGCAGTGGAGATAGTGTTGTGCTTAAGACTGAGGCAGAACATGGGACCCACTAAAAGCATTTTTCCTTCCTCCAGCAAGATCAGGGACCTTAATCCAGCAGTGATTTGTTAAATGCAGGCTCCTTACCCACTCAGGCTGAGGGAGAACAGCTTCAGACATACGCAGGAGACAGGTATTTTTTTTGAACGCAGGTCACGCTTTATTCCAAAGTCTGCTTGCCCTTATTCCAGCCTTAACACAAGGACCAGGCCAGGACATAAGTTACCAAAATAAGTTACATTAGGAATGATTACAAAGCATTGTTTGCTGGGGGAATAACCAACACTTACCTCCCCCCTTTTAATACCAGGAGATCCCATCCCAGAGTAACTCCTGGCAAGAGCTGCCTCATTTGCCAGCTAAAGGCTTCACACATGGAGTTACTCACACACAACCGGACGATCCCTGAAGGCATTTACACGACTAAAAGATAATCCCACTGCAAATTGTCATGCTTAAAAGAAAATCCCACCTTGCTAAGTGTTTCTCTAGGAAAGAAGAAGTGTTTGGCTGATCCACAAAGTCTTTTTTTTTTTCTTTGAGGAGCTGCCCCTTGCCCCCGGCTGGTCCCGCTCCGCTGCGGGGTGAGCCTCGCCGGAAGCACAAGGGGCACAAAGGAAGTGTCTGTAACGTGTATTTTTAAACTTGTAAAAGGAGGGAAACAGTATCAAGGGCCAAGCACCTCATCCTCTCAAGATCTGTCGCTTGGATGAATTAAAAACCAAACCCGACATTAAAAATAAGTTGAGGCCACTACTTCTCTCAGCAAGAATTAGCCATTCACACCACAGAGCTGGGCTGGCTTAAAAAGCTGAAGTACAGGTCCCCATCTTCCCTCTCAGCGCAGCAGCATGATTTAAAAAATATAGTAAATCAAGATACAGAGTCACCCCACCTTGGCTCCCAGGTCTCCTCGCAAACTACACCTTGCTGTGAACTCAGCCTGGGACAGGGAGTGAGCAGGAGGCACTTGGGGCACGACTGGCAGCTGGACACATGATTAAAGGGTAAAGTGCTGTTCTAGCCAGGGAGCCTTGGCCAGAAGAGCTGGAATTTTCAGGGATCTTCCTCTGGTGCATTAGTTTTTATCTCCTTTGCAGCCAGCGCCACCTCTGTGTCTTTCTCTGCCTTCTCTTCCAGCTTCTCTAACACTTCACACCCTTCCTCTGGGATCCTGGTGGCTCCCTTTGGCTCCTCGGGTGCTTTCTTTTCCACCCCCTTTGGCTTCTTGGGGGCCTTCTTTTCCACCCCCTTAGATGATGTAGCCTTCACCCCCCCCTTTGGCTCCTCAGGTGCCTTCTTCTCCACCCCCTCTGGCTCCTCGGGTGCCTTCACCACCTCCATTGATGATGTAGCCTTTTCCACCCCCTCTGGCTCCTCGGGTGCCTTCACCACCTCCATTGATGATGTAGCCTTTTCCACCCCCTCTGGCTCCTCGGGTGCCTTCACCACCTCCATTGATGATGTAGCCTTTTCCACCCCCTCTGGCTCCTCGGGTGCCTTCACCACCTCCATTGATGATGTAGCCTTTTCCACCCCCTCTGGCTCCTCGGGTGCCTTCACCACCTCCATTGATGATGTAGCCTTTTCCACCCCCTCTGGCTCCTCGGGTGCCTTCACCACCTCCATTGATGATGTAGCCTTTTCCACCCCCTCTGGCTCCTCGGGTGCCTTCACCACCTCCATTGATGATGTAGCCTTTTCCACCCCCTTTGGCTCCTCAGGTGCCTTCTTTTCCACCCCCTTAGATGATGTAGCCTTCACCACCCCCTTTGGCTCCTCGGGTGCCTTCTTTTCCATGCCCTTAGATGATGTAGCCTTTTCCACCCCCTTTGGCTCCTCAGGTGCCTTCTTTTCCACCCCCTTAGATGATGTAGCCTTTTCCACCCCCTTTGGCTCCTCAGGTGCCTTCTTTTCCACCCCCTCTGGCTCCTCGGGTGCCTTCACCACCTCCATTGATGATGTAGCCTTTTCCACCCCCTCTGACTCTTTGGGTGCCTTTGCCATCCCCTTTGGTGATACAGCCTTTTCTGTCCCCTTTGGTTCCTCAGGTGTCTTCGCTGTCCCCTTTGGCTCCTCGGGTGCCTTCTCCACCACAGGTGATTTTCTGTCAGTCACCATATCTTTCTTCATCTGCTTCCTGCCGTCCTGTGACTCTTTAGCTATTGCCCTGAAGGGACCCACAAGCCAGTTGAGAGGGATGTTGTGAGTTACATACTCAAACAAGTCATCTAGGGACCTTCGAGCTTCTGCCACATAGTCCTGGCTCCGGGTCAGGGTGGTGCTGGAGAGGTCCTGGAAAGACATAGCACTGGAAAAAGAACTATGGAGCTTGCGGATATTTCGAGTGGCCTGATACACAGCTTCCTGGATGTTGCTGGGGAGGCCATGGATGCTGGCTTTCAGATTCTCATAAGCAGGTTGTAGCTGCTGGGTGATGATACGCAGCATAGCTAGAGTCCGTGACTCTACCTGCTGGGAAAGAGACAGAGCTCAGTTACCAGAGCAGATGTACACCATCCACCAGAGGCCTGATTAAATACGCCCTTCTAGGGATACCTCTGGTTGGGAGGCAGTTTTTACTTGGATTCCTTTGGGTTGGGTCAGGCTCCAGTCCACCCACAGCTGATGGAGCTTCTCCTGCCCATCCAGAAGCTTCTGGCCAACCTCCTGTTTCACAGATTCAATCTGATGGGGAAAAACGAGAGGAAGAGCTGTATTGCAAGCACACACCATCAGGGAAGCACAAGCAGGGAGGGATCCAAGATGACATGCAGCTGGTACAGGATGGAGGAAGAGCTTCCATCTGGAGAGTAGGGCAGGAAGACTATAGACAGGAGGAAAAGGGGGGGAAAAGCGTGTTTGTACCAGTTTTATTGCCAGTTGTAGTCGGGAGAGAGTCTCCTGGGTGCTTTGCTTAATGCACCTCAGTTTGTTGAGGGAGAGCTGGTAGGCTCGCTGCCGGACTTTGCTAGAGAGGGAACCCAGGCGCACAAAGTAACTCTGTTGCTGTTTCTGCTCCTCCACAGAAGCCACATCAAATCCCTTGACACTGGTGGCCAGTTCACCTGGAGGAAAGAAGAACAGAGATGCAGCTGTGCTCCTCTCCCCCAGCTGCAAAGAGGAGGTAAGTGGTAAGATCACCCCTTGGAAAACCATGAAGGATGAAGCTTGGTGTGTGAACAGTAGAGGTTTGTGGTTGCTCAGCTATTAAAGGTAGGCTGGTCCCTGCTCAAGGTGTTCTCTTCGGATAAGCAGACTTGACATGTTGGTTGAACATGCACCCACGTGTTTATTTGCCTTGAGGCTGATGGGCAAGAACCAATTAGCAAATGCTTGAACTCTGTCCCATACCATGTGGCAAGCCGGTGTTGACAGACGGCCAGTTTGATGACAATTTCAGAGCTACCTGTCTGCTTCAGAAGATGAGTCTTGCAGTGTCAGGTGCTCTCTAATCACATGGGAAAGGATTTGTATTTACAACCGCCAGCTAAGCATTTTCTCACCTAGTTCCTCCTCCGTCATCGGGAGGTAATGATCCACCAGATCTTCTGATATCCCCAGGACAGACTCCACACCACCTGCCACTGCTTGGCTCACTGCCTTGGCTTTGCTTATGCTGTTGGTCACCACCGAATTGGTCATCTTCATCCCCTCCTGGATCACCTCTCTGCTCTGCTCCAAGGCCGTATTGATTTTGCTGCTTATGGTGCCATATGCAGCATCCAGAGCTGTGTTGACCGTAGAAGCAACCATCGATTTAGTCTTCTCAACACTATCCTGAACAGCCCCTTTGGTTCGGTCCACAGCTTCAGTCACCGTGTTGGTCACAAGATCCTTTGCACTCTGGGCAGCCCCTACAGCAGCAGTAATTGTAGAAGCAACTGCAGACTTGGTCTTTTCAACGCTGTCCTCCACGATGTGTTTGCTGAGGTCCACAGCTTCGGTCACCTTGTTAGTGACAAGGTCCTTGGCACCCTGGGCAGCCTCCACAGCGTTGACGATAGTAGAAGCCACTGCAGACTTGGTCATTTCAACACTGTCCTCCACAATGTGTTTGCTGAGGTCCACAGCTTCGGTCACCTTGTTAGTGACAAGGTCCTTGGCACCCTGGGCAGCCTCCACAGTATTGGCAATTGTAGAAGCCACTGCAGACTTGGCGAGTCCAACACTGTCCTCCACAATATGCTTGCTGAGGTCCACAGCTTCAGTCACCTTATTAGTGACAAGGTCCTTGGCACCCTGGGCAGCCTCCACAGCATTGACAATAGTAGAAGCCACTGCAAACTTGGTCTTTTCAACGCTGTCTTCCACGATGTGTTTGCTGAGGTCCACAGCCTCAGTTACCTTGTTGGTCACAAGGTCCTTGGCACCCTGGGCAGCCTCCACAGCACTGTTAACAGTGGAGGTGACCATTGACCTAGTCAGCTTGACACTGTCCCCAACAACATTTTTAGTGAGGTCCACAGCTTCAGTCACTTTATCAGCCATTGCTTCTTTTGCCTCACAGGCAGCATCCATAGCACATGTCACTTTGGTGGAAACCAGCTGCTTGGTGTCCAAGATTACCTGTGACAGGGAGAGGCAGAGAAAGACATTTTTTTCTGTAACAGGCTTTCCCTCCCTGAAGTAGCTTTTCCATATGGCTAAATTGTGCTTGTGGTCTCATGGGAGAGCAAGGGAAGCCAGTACACCTATATTTACATGGACATGTTCACCTTCCACATACTGAAGGCATCTCTCCAGCTTTCAGCAGCTGGTAGTGCCTCTTCCAGGGACTGACCTGACAAAGCAATGCTGCTGAAGTTTATTTCCCCATTTCTGTACCCATAACAGAGATCCTGTTAACAGTGGAGGTGACCATTGACCTAGTCAGCTTGACACTGTCTCCAACAACATTTTTAGTGAGGTCCACAGCTTCAGTCACTTTATCAGCCATTGCTTCTTTTGCCTCACAGGCAGCATCCATAGCACATGTCACTTTGGTGGAAACCAGCTGCTTGGTGTCCAAGATTACCTGTGACAGGGAGAGGCAGAGAAAGACACATTTTTTTCTGAAATAGGCTTTCCCTCCCTGAAGTAGCTTTTCCATATGGCTAAATTGTGCTTGTGGTCTCATGGGAGAGCAAGGGAAGCCAGTACACCTATATTTACATGGACATGTTCACCTTCCACATACTGAAGGCATCTCTCCAGCTTTCAGCAGCTGGTAGTGCCTCTTCCAGGGACTGACCTGACAAAGCAATGCTGCTGAAGTTTATTTCCCCATTTCTGTACCCATAACAGAGATCAAGTCACAGCTTCCCCAGGAAAAGCTTTTACTTTACCTTATCTGCTGGCTGTTGAAGAAAAGGCAAGTTCTCCTCCAGCTGATTCAGTCCCTTACAGGCGTATTCATTTACAAGTGCAACTAGAAAAAACAACAGGTACCAGTTTATTCTTCAATCTGGAGAGGAGGTTTTAACTCCACAGCAGCCAATTCAGGACACACTCATGAAAGCAAGCCAAAAAAACCTACTATTCTGGGATGGTGCGTGTGTGGGGGACATCTTGTTAAAAAGTGAACAAACCCTACAGTTTGGCAGGTTCAACTGGTCTCTGTTTTGCCTTCCCAGCTTCCTAGCCATTGGCAGTATGTTGCTCCCACTGGAATGTCATACTTGACCCTCATAGGTAGGGGGGTTGGTTTAAAAGGGTTGAAAAGTGTTGGGATGAGACAGACTGAGCTATAGCAAAGAGGGACACTGCTACTGCTGGTTGGGATGCCCATAACTTAGAGCAGTAGAGAGTTTTTGCTTAGTGAGCTAAAGAAAGCACAAAAAAGAGGCCAGACTTTGTGCTAGAAACAGTTTCATGTCCATGACATTCAGTGGCTTCACCAAGCAGCTGAGTGGAGGGCTCAGTGCTAGAAGAAGGCTCTATAGGAGATGGATTTCACCCAACAGGCACATGACACCCCCCCTTCCCACCTATTCCTCTGTGTGCAAAGGGCCACTCCAGCCTCTTCACTTACTTTGTGGCTCCAGCTGGTTCAGGATGGGCTGTGCCCCACCAACCACGCTGCCTACTGCGACAGCAGCCACGGTCTCAGCCACGTTGCAGACCCCACTGAGGCAAGGATGCGTCTCCTTGGTGTGGTTGTAGGCTGATGAGACCAGGTTGAAGGCAGAGTTGAGCAAGGGCAGGCTGGTTACCCGATCGACAACGCTCTAACCCAAGAGAAATAAATGACATTAGAGACTCGCCTCAGGCTGGTGGGTGAATACAAGCCATGTGTCTATCCAGAAAGGTCCCCAGGGGACATCTAGTCCACTTCCTCATCCTTCCTGAACTCAGCGTTGAAGGGACTCATCCAAAGCAAGTTAGCAACAGGCCAGGATTAGAAGTTTGAGCTCTGGGATCATGAATTCTGAGTCACAGTGGGTTTCATCACCAAACCCAGATGTGGAAATAGGACCTATAATCGCTCATGTTGCAGCGTTACTTGCATTGCTTGAGCCAGCCCTGAAGTTCTCTCTTGAGCAAGAAAAGTTACCTTCTGTATTAACTGAGTTTAGATTTAGCCATGGCTTCATATGGTTAATCTTTCTGCTACTCCCAGCCTGGTCTTGAGATGCTGACAGAAGTTAATTTACCAGCCCATCTGTCAGTGGGCAGTTTAACTGTTGCATGTTAGAGTACTAGCCACCCTGGCACCTACCGCTTGCTGCTGCTCCTCAGCCTTTAGCAGATCTTTCTTTGTGGTCTTTTCTGATGCCATGCTGAATTCAGCTGCAGCTAAAAGGAAAAACAACAGTATAACAGCATTAGTACAACTTCATTTCCTCAAGTAAATTAAAACCTGAGGGCAGAGTTGGGATCCATCATTCAGCACATCCCAGGAACACTGATCTTTCTTACAAGGGTGTGAAGGTGTCTGAGAGGCTCCATGACTTATGGTGTGCAAACGTTTATGCAGGACAAAGACTTTAGTCAGTCACCTCCCTCAATCCCCAAACAGCCAGATATTTTAAACAATAACCACCCTATTTATTTTATTGCTGATAATATATGACTGGTTTCAAACTTGCAGGTTAGAAATGGGTGACAACTATTTTATCTGTCACACTTCTCTGCTAGAGTTGGGCTAGTTTCTCTGGTTGGGCTTCCCCCTGCAGAGGGTCTCACTTCTGGTTGGGCTTCCCCCTGCAGAGGGTCTCTGCTGGCCACAGCCTGGAATACTTGAAGGAAAGATGGAAAGGAAAGATGGAAGGAAAGGAAGCAGGGCTGATGGTGGGAATTGCTGAACGTTGTCTCGGTATCATGACAAATTCCTGTTCTTCTAACAATGAACTGAAATGCTCCCTTGAAACTTGCTTTCCCATCCTACTGACCAGTGAGGCAGGAAATCTCTCCTCACTTCCTCTGAAACCAAGCCTCAGAAGTATTCTCATTACACAATGGGATTAAAGTAGTAGGGATATAAAAATTATGCAATATCTTAAACATGTATTGGCTTCCTCATCACAGACTTAGGTTGGTATCTGGACACTCCAGTATCATGCGATAAATCCAGGATTACTTCTCAGCCTTAGTCAGGCACAGCAGGGATTTCAGAGTATTTGTTCTTCAGTGCAGTGTCTGCTTCTCCCTCCCTTGCCAGTGAATTCCTATTCTTAGAATTGCTGTGGCATTTTCCAGTGGAAAAGCCCCAAACCAAAATTCCTCCCAAACTGGATTCCCAAGCCAAGCACTGCTCCAGGCTCAACCCCGAAAAAAACTTGCCATCTGATTTGTGACAGAGACCATTGTCTTGTTTCTTGTGTTCTTTGACTGGTGTAAGGTTTTTATTTTGCTGTGGAAAAAAGTAACAGGGAGCTGGGGAAGAAGCAGTGAAAAAGGCATTTGTTAGCCCTGGACTGACTATGGATAAAGCTGGGGGAGACATCTCAGGAGGTAACTTGGCAGGATGTCAAGTATTGCTGCAATTAGGCATCATTTTAATGAGATTCAAGCAAAGCAGGGGTGCAGACTGTCTACAGCAAAAGTTGTCACAGAAGTTGGGACCTTCAGCCTCTGAAGTGAGAAGCCCAGGCCCAACTCTCTTCTGCACATTCCTGGTACCCACCCAGCCTGGGGGGGGGGGGGGGGGGACA